AGATGTGATTCTTCTAAGGAAAATCAAATGAGGGTGACATTTTTACCTTGCAGTTTTTCTCTGATATCAACGATAAGTGCCTTTGAAGAAATCTTGTAGTGAAAGCCTGATTAATTCATTCAAATGGAGGCATTTGCTGAAAATAATCTTGGATGCACTTCAGTTTTTCTTCAGCGTGTGTGCCTGGTACCTTGAAAATCATCTGCGAGGAATATTTCAGAGTCTTTTTCAAGGATACAAGCAAAAGCAAACTGGGCTTGGAAAAATGTTCAAGTCATTTATCTGTGTGAAATTTAAGGTCAAAATAATTCTTCCTCAGATTCCTGTAAGTAAATAACACTGGCCTGTTGGGCTACGTCAGTCACAGCAGTGGCCTGAACCTTCAGGCTGTTCGTCATCAAGTGTGGTCTGTAGGGTTGCTTCTGAAGTTCCAGCCCTGAGGGTTAATGCACACTGAATGGCTCCCAGGACTACATACACTGATCCAGAACGCTGTCTCCTAGAATTGATCAGCTCAGCATTCGCACATAAGCCCATCCTTGTAGTTATCCATTTAAAAAGATGCTCAAAAGTCCTGAAACGCCTGAGCCTGCTAGTAAGTGGTCTAGGTATTTCATTAGAGCTATTTACTTATTCCCGACGCCCAACTTCAAGTTACCTTTGCAGATATGAATGTTTAGTGATCTTGATCATTTATGTATTATTAATTCAACATGCATTTATTGGTGAGCTGCCCTGTGCTGGACATTTCCCTCTGTGCTGGAGAGTGCAGAGATGAACACACAGCTCCCTGCCCTTGGTGAACGGGACACACGTGCATATCGGCGTGTACAGCATTACTTGCACGCCTGCATGCCTGGACTTCAGCACGGAGGAGTGCGGGATGAGTAAATGAAGGGGCTATGCAATTTGAGAACTTTCTTTTCTGTGTTCTTGGTGTATGTAGCCTTAACATGGCTTGGGAATTGAAAGGTGAAAAGAAAATTCTGAAGTTGTATAGATAAGAAGGTTCGTTATTGAACAGAAAATATGAGGCCTATCCCAGTGTGAAAATCCATTTCGGGCTTGAACTTGATCTGGTAGTTCCTCTTCATGTCAAAAGCCAGAGCTAGAAAGAAGGCCGATACCAGTGAGTGAGTGATGGGAGGCAAGCATTATGTAGATCATAGTAAATGAAAGAAACTTCTTAGTGATATGAACTGTCCTTTTTGTTGTAGCTGCTCCTGTTTCCTTAAAATCCGCATAGAGCCACAGGCCGATGTGTGATCATCCCCAGTGTCATCTCTGAGGGTGCTGTCACCCAGCGCCCCAGGCCCCTCCTTGTTTGGGCAAATGGTACCCTTCTGACTCAGCCTTCCTATAGCAGGAGGGCAGGGCTGGCAGGAGTGGTAGTCAGCTGCAATTCTAGGCCTTTTGTGGTGGAGGGCCTGTGAGGAGCCCGGGCCAGCGCTGTAGTGGGGGCCAGTAGCCCAAGGAGGCCAACCTCAGCTGGGGCTGGGGCTGGGGCTCCTCTGGCTTCCCCAGCAGCCAGATTGCCCAGCACCTATAATTAATTGGGAGATTTGCAGCCAAACTGTGTTACCCCGGGCCCTGGTACTTGGGGGCTGCAGTCCATCTGTGCAGCCCAGGCCTGGAGCCTCTTAGGGCTCACCAGGCCACCAGGCCTGAGGGACAGCTGATGCCCCCAATCGAGGGTACTGGGCTTCTGCTCCTGCTCCTATGTCCCTCTGGGCCTCCTCAGTGGCTGCCCAGCCCACTGGGCCATCCCTGGGCGGAGTGGCAGCCAGGGGCTCCCCACAGGTGGAGTCACAGCGTTAGAGCCTTCAGTCCCCTCACTGTCCCCCAACACTGGAGCCCTCCTAGGCCTTCCAGGCCCCAGCCCCATCCCTGTTGATTTATTGTTTCTCCTTTGAATGAACCATGCTTTTCCTGTTTCTTTGTAGGCCTTGTCATTGTTTGTCGAAAACTGGACATTTTAACCTAATTATGCGGTAACTCTGTAAATCAGATTCTTCCCCCTTCCTCAGGCTTTGCTGGGTTTTGTTATTGTTTTTGTTTATGGCTTTTTATTTTCTTAATTGTTGTAGGCTGTGTCAAGGTGCCTGAGGCACAAACTTAAGGTCTTCTCGGGTCTTTTCTGATTTTCCTTGGGCACGCGGGGTCACTTTCTAATTTTCCCTGTTGTTTTTGAATGTAGTTTTTATGCAGTTGTTCTGGAATCTTTAGCGTCTGCCTCCCACTCCCAAATTAGGAAAAAGAGAAGGGGTGTGTGTGAAAAGGGGACCCCAGCCCTTTAAATCTCCGGGAAGTGCCTTCAGCAGGAGGGGGAGCGGCCAGCACCAATATGAGGACAAGGGCTACACGCCTCTCTGCACCTTTGTGATCAGCAGTGGAAATCAGCAATCGGAGCACAGATTCCTTATATTTAAAAGGCCTTTAAATGTAGAGCCCTTTTTGCCCCCCCGGCTCCTGAAAGCTGTGTGCAAGCTATTCTAGAAACGTGCGCAGATGCCTGCCGGGGGTGAGGGCCGGGTATCTGCTACTGTGGGAACAGCTGAAACTGACCAAAACTAACCACAGTTTACCATCTAAACCCTCTCCCGGGAATTTCGAGCTTTCAATGGAATCCAAAGCTCCAAAATGGTTACATCAGACAGGCCCTCCCGGTGCCATTGTCCAGGTGCGGAGACAGATCCCTGGTGCTTCCTGCTCTGCCACCTTCCCAGATTCCTCTAGACCGCATTTTCTTTTGTTTTTGTAAAATGATGCTGATGTTTGGAGTATCCTTCTACCCTAGAAAGATGGTTATAAACATTTCTCCAGCGAGGAAAAACTTTTTAAAACAAAGTGCTTAAGCCCTGGCCAGGTGGCTCAGTTGGTTGAGGTGTTGTCCCCTGCACCGAAAAGTTGTGGGTTTGATTCCTGGTCAGGGCGCATACCTAGGTTTCGGGTTCAGTCCCTGCTAGGGGCACGTGTGGGAGGCAACCGAGCAATGTTTTTCTCACATCGATGTTCCTCTCTGTCTCTGTCTCTGTCTCTGTCTCTCTGCCCCCCCCCCC